TGACCGCGCTCTGCAGAACGCCGGTCCCAGTCAGTCGGGTTTGGATCTGTGCAGCTGAGGGCAGAAAGGGGCCGGGGCGGCTGCGGGTGGCTCGGTCGGCGTCTTCTGCCTGGCCGCCGGGCTGGCCTCTTAGCGAAGTTACGGATCTGCTAAGGCGTAGATACGACTCTTCACGACAGTCAGCCAATGTTGAAACTCACTAATGTATGTATTTGCTCTTTTTTTTTTTTTTTTTTGGAATAATATATTAACTTGTTGAACACTGTTCTTTTCGCAGTGTTACAAAGCGGGGGGGAGGGGGATTTCCCAACCTTTTTCAGTTCGGGTGAGCTACTGAAAATCATTTTGTACTAGCTATGTCACTGCTCCCGGCAGCCGGCGGCGGCGCTCGGCGTGGGGCCGTGCCGGGGTGAGGTTTAGCCGTTCTACAGCAGTAGTTTTTAAGGTCTTTTTTTGTTTGTTTTTTGGTTTTTTTTTTTTTTTTTAAATCGTCTGGTTTTACTAATGAGGGTTGTTGCAAATCACACTTCCAGTGTAGTTCCTAGTGTAGGCCCAGTAAAAGGGATATCGCAGCTTTGTGTTGGGGAGAAATTGAGCTGACATGGCCAGTACAAAGGAGAAATAGGGAGGGAATAACGTTTTGCACCTTATTGAAAAGAGGAGAAGATTTTAAGTGCATACAGACATAGTTAAGAGCTTTTATTGTGACAGGAGAACTTTTTTCCATATGCGTGCATACTCTCTGTAATTCCAGTGTAAAATATTGTACTTGCACTAGCTTTTTTAAAACAAATATTAAAAAAAATGGAAGAATTCATATTCTATTTTCTAATGGTGGTGTGTCTATTTGTAGGATACACTCGCGTCTGTTTATTGAATTTTATGGTCCCTTTCTTTGATGGTGCTTGCAGGTTTTCTAGGTAGAAATTATTTCATTATTATAATAAAACAATGTTTGATTCAAAATTTGAACAAAATTGTTTTAAAGAAATTGTCTGTATACCAGTACAAGTTTATTGTTTCAGTATACTCGTACTAATAAAATAACAGTGCCAATTGCAAACGCATGGCTTGTCTTTACGAGTTACGGCTGAATGCGAGAGCGCTTTTCTAGGGAAGTAATGCGCCCAGTTTACCCCCCCCCCCGCATCGGCCATGCATTTTAAGGCTTTTATTCGCCACGCCGCAGAGATGCGCACGTACCCATCCGAGGCCACAACACCCTCTCCAGACCATCAGAGTGAAGCTCTCTATTGCGTAACAAAACTTCCCATTGACAACTTCCGAACGCGGCCAGTGATTGTGCCACGTGCGCCGGGGGCGTCGCGCGCGCGCGAGGTTGCTACAGAGGAGGGGAGGCAGTGCTCGTCCCGGCCGTCGCTGCAGGGCCGTCGCCGCAGGGCCGTCGCCGCAGGGCCGGCTGGGGCAGGAACGCATCACACACGCACCAGCTCTTTTTGGCCGATTACGCGGAAGCGCTTCACCATTACTGCAAGCAACACCAAGGAGTTTTGAACTCTGAGTTACGTGTGTATGAAAGCTTCAACCAGTAAACGTTGCGTCAAGTAAACGCTGGGCAGGGCTCACTTAAACACGGGAATGGCCACAAGCGAAGCGAAGGCTGCGGAGGGGGTCCGTGCTGCGTTCAGGGGCGCAGAGCTCTGCCAGCATCTAAGCGAGACGTGCTTCAGCCCCTCCGCCCCCGGGCACCTCCCGGCCCGTGGGGAAGGGCCCGGCCGCCTGCCCGCTGGCTCTGGCTGCCGCAGAAAGCAAACTGCTGCTCCTGGGCCTTGGCTTTTTTGGTTTTTTCTCTCTTCTACACAAGCAAGGCCAAACCTGGCGCTGGTTGCAAAAGCCCTCCTGGCTCCAGCAAAGAACTTTTGGTATAAAACTGATACTAGCAACTAAAAAGCAACATCCCCCGGGTGGAGGGGTGGGAGGCGGTGAGGGACAGACGCTGCACGTACACTGGCAGAAAGCTGTAGCAGCAAGTCTGTTCAAGACTGCGGAGCTCAATAGGTACAAACTAGGGAGTGCTTAGTTCAGAAAAGGCTTCAAACTCAACGTGTCCGTGACTGGAAAACACCAGCCCCCTGTCCCAACACAGTGGGGCCTGGCTAATTGCCCCTGTGTTTCTTCCTCACCCCCATCCTTTCTCCCCTGCTACTGACCAGCTAAAATGAAGACACAGGCACACTGTGTATGGGAAAAGCTCCTCCAAACGTAAGCAGAAGCTCCTCCTGCCCCTGCTGACAAGTCTTCAGATTTACAGGGTGGCCCCATCCCACATTCAACCCCCCATGGCCCATGGCCTAAGGTGAGAAGGAAGCGGCACAGAAGCGCACAGCCAAGGCGCCTGCCCCGTGGCCGATGGGGGTGAGCCGGCCTTGGCAATAAGCGGGGTGGGGGCAGGCACGCACTCGCTGGGTGTGGGCGCTCGTTTCCCCCAGAGAAAGGAGACCCGTGTGGCTTCTTTTGCACCTGGCAGGGTGCTGGCTCAAGGCCCACTCCCCTAAGGGGCTGGCCTCACGCCTGTGAAGAGGTCTACACCTGCGCTCCCCGCAGCCACCACGTAGCCACCCAGGCGCGAGCAAGGCTGCTGCTGTGCCAGGACCTTCCTCCCCAAGGAGGGCTCAGGTAAGCCAGGCTGCGTGGGCCCGAGGCGGGCCAGCCCACCCTGCGCGACACGCTGCAGCAAGGCGACTGCAGAAGGAGGCTGGGAGCGGCGGGGGTGTTTTACATGCCCTTATAGTTCAAGAAGCCGGAGACGGACACAGGCAGCAGGGATTGCTTTAATGATGTAACGCTGCCCTTTTCAGCGTGCCTGCTTGTAGGTCTTTGGTACGTGAAACTAAATAACTGCAGAGCCGGTGGGCCGAACCTCAACATTGCTCTTCGGTGCTCAACAGCAGCTGGCTGGCTGGGAGAAGCGGGCATGACCTGGGCCTACAGCGCAGGTTATCGCATTCACCGTGTTCCTCTAGACAGGATGGGGTTGGGGTGGTGGGGTTAAAGAAGACCAAGTTATGCACAATCAATCACCCAGCGCTAAGTGCTTATGAATGACACTTCCCACAGAAGGACACCAAGGAACAGAGAACCCGGTTAAATGTGCAGGTGAGGTAGATCCACAAATGGCACGTGGCATTTATCAGTAGTTGTGGCCTCTGCTTGGACCACCCTGCCAGGCACAGCGCGCCCTCAGCTCCCTCTCTGCCCCCCGCTCCTTGCGAGGGCGGCCGCGGGCTTGAGCAGGGCACAGGACCCGGGGCGAAGCGAAGACAAGGGCAGCTACTGGAGCACAGGACGGGGTGTTAAAGGAGGGCCCGAGCTCGTCTTTTTTCCATTTTCCAGCCCGAGAGCTGGACACGTCCAGTGTAAATGGTGAGCGTGACATAGTTGCGGTTATCCCTGAACAAAACCCACATACAACGTTGGGTGAGATGCAGATGTGCCACCAAGTCAGCCTTTCTGCTGCCGATTTCTCTCTCCCACTCACTTTGGAAAGAGAAAGGGAAAATGGAAGAGAACACATGCTCCTTATCAAAATGATGGTAAGAGCTGCTATTTAGAAAACCAAATACCCTAAGTCAAAGCTTTATCAGTAACTATTCTTAGCGCCAACGTCATTCACAGCCTGGAGAATTTGGGGGACAACCTAAGATCAGCCTATCCCCATCCTTTCCCGTTAGTCACCGGGCAGCCAGAGGTATGTGTGAAAGAGGAAGGCGAGCGAGTGTAAGGGTGGCCCCAGCCCAGGCGGGCTGTCTCAGCGCGCAGCCTGCCCGGGGAGGAGGCCCCACACTTGCCGCACCTGTGGAGAGGCAGCCCCGCCTCGTCCCCAGCGCCTGCCCTTTGGGAAAGAAACTGTTCCGAAGACGTATCATGAAGCTGCTCTCTTCAGTGTGCCTATGATCTTTTTAAAAAAATGTTTACAAATATAGATGTATTTTTATATATGTGTATGTATTTCTTAAATTCCATTTAGAAATGTTGCTAAAAAAAGTAGAAAAGCGCTAGCGAGAGTAGGCGTGAGACCAGCAGACTGCTGCACTTCCCACGTATGAAGGCACGAGTGTGGAGACACACCTGCGGTCAGGCCTGCGACACGATGGTCTAACCCCGCTCCTCGCGGAGGTGTTCATTTGCCTTTGTAGCCCTACCCTGCACACCACGTAAATAAAGGAGCGGTGACCTCCTACAGCCGTACCGATGCAGAGTAGTAATACTGCCTGTATTACTAATACTCTGGGCTTAGTGAGGGCAAGAGCAGTATTTGGCCTGCGGCAGGGTTTGCGATAAAGAAACCTGGCATCTTCGTAACGTGATGCTTTCAGGCTGGAGGGAGCAGAGACCAGATCCTTTATTCACAGGGCCGGCTTCTCTTCTGCGTTCAGGTCCCTTTACGATATGTGGGCAGGACAAATGGTCCTTAAAGCCAGCACAAGCGTAACCTGTGCTCACATTAAGGCCCTAATTCACCTCCAAAGGAGAGGAAGGGGTCATACCACAGTTAAGAATTATGTCCTACATGTTAAGTGGAAGACGTTCAGAATAGCAGGCTGTTTGGAAGATACTCTGTGCTTTTTCTAATGCGCGCAACCCACTTCAAAATCACCAGGGATCAGCCTGCGGCCTAGATGTGCTCCTCAGCACGGTCAATTGTACCAATCCTTGTGCATGGCTTTTTGAGCAGTCCAGCACATGAGTTTAATTCTAGAGTTTCTCTTTGCTGTTCCTCGTCCTACAGATCACTTTTTTGCTTTTCAAAGGAAGCCTGCCTCTTTCTACAGATATCTACAGGAGGGGAACGTCAGACTCTGAAGTAGTGAAGTAACATCAGCCGTATTGCGATCTCAGCAGCACTTTAAAGTAAGTGGGCAAGCATTATTAATTTATTGGTGCTCGCTTTTACATCATTTATCATAACGAGCTGCTGTGGTATTCATGTGGATGCAATGTGTATTTCCAAAGAAATTTCATTGTGATTTATCTATTAATTAGTGGGCCATTACACTTTATTAAAGTGTTACCCAGAGTCTTAAACATTCATTACTGCCTTTAGAGCAAATGCTTTAACTCCATCTTAGCCTACCAGTGTCTCGCAATCAGGCTATTCTGCTGAAAGCTCTCTTTTGCTTTTCATGGCGTCAAGGACTGCAGAGGAGTGGTACCAAATGACCAAAGCGAATTTGATCCCTCTGGCCTCATTCACCTGGCCACAGAGAAAGCACATCACAGCATTTTTATGTCTTTGCTAAATGGCTATGAACAGGCAAGGGAACAGGGAGGGCTGCAGAGAAACCTCCCCTTGGTGGGGTTACTGTTGCTGAGGTTCAATGTCTTAAAAATCTGTTCACAGCGAGCAGGTAAAAGCAGGAACCCAGGTAATTCAATAACTGCATGCACGAAAAAGCAGGCAAGCTCTGAGACACTGTCTCCTGAACTGTCTCCACAGATGGGGGGAGGGGGGACAGCATGGGTTTGCTATGTTCAATACCAGCTTCTCTGAAGAGGCAAGTCCATCGAATAGGGAGATTTAAGCAAGAACGGCAGTACCAGCCCTGGGAACTGAAAGAGATCTGGCATTTTTAGCATCACAGTAAGAAGTCACCAATAGGCAGGCCTCATCCACCGTCCACCTCTGACATTCTGCAGGCTGGCAGCCGTGCCACAAACATCCATTCCTTTGCCAGAACAAAGATTAAGAGAATTTGATTTTTTGATTTCTCCACACAATTCCTTGCATCTTTTTCTCTCCCAGCCTGCAGTTTCTGGAGGGTGCACTGTCAGAAGCAGTGGTAGTTGACAGGTCAGTCTTAAAAAAGGGAATGTGTGTGTGTATGCAGGTGTAACGGCCATGTCTGTACAAGCCAATTCCTTGGTAATTGAGGTTTCAGCAGCTATTTGTCAGAGAGGGAAAAAAAACAGGTGAAGAAACGTTGATTAAAAAATAAAATAGGCACAACAATAAAAGATGAGGCCATTGCAATTTGAACCGATGGTGCTGTGTTAATAGCACGACCTTCCCCTTCCAAATCCCAGCCACAGCCCCTCCAATGGCTATGACACCGCCATTCTGAGAGAGAGGAGCGGTTGCCACTAACACAACATGGAGGAGAAAGCAAAACAAACCAGCAGCCCTTCCTGCTCCTCTCCCCCACCCCTCTCTCTCCAGCCCCCCAGTCCTGGGCTAAGAGAAGACCTGGCTGTGCTGCTGGGTGACCCGGATAAATGTTGTTCTCCTGCTCAGTTCCTTGAGTTTGGCAGCTCCCACGTAGGTGCAGGTGGAGCGCAGCCCCCCGAGGATGTCCAGGATGGTGAGCTCCACATCCCCTCTGTACGGTACCTCCACAGTTCTGCCCTCCGACGCCCTGGAGGAGAGATCGGTTACTGCATTTATGTCTAGATGAAAACATAATAAGTGTTTTTTTCTGGAGCAATGTGGAGCTTAATACTCTGCATACTGCAGTTTACAACCGTTCCCCCAGCTTTCTTGCTTGTTTGCCTGTTGCTGCTTGGTGCTCTCAAGCACTGAAATGCCTCAACTCCAGTCACCACCACTACTGGGAACCTGAAGCAGACAAATCTTGTAGATACCCCAATATCCCATGAGTGTATTTCAGATCTGCCCCTTCCTGCTCTCCATCATCTGCCTACAAGCAAGTGAAGCTTCCAGGTTTACTGAAAGGTAAATTTGACCTTGAGAGTTGCAAGCTTTAAAGTATAAGGAACGGCCAGGCCCAGGCAACTTACAGCAATGCTGGAGCTGGTTCTCAGCAGGCACCACTCAGCACAGCTCTGCAGAGGCTTCACAGCCCCTGGGCTCTGTCCCATGTCACTGACCAGCCGCAGATGGAAATGCTCCGGCTGCCTCCCACCAGCCTGGTTCTCCAGAGCCCACAGAGATGGAGTGGGAAACCTGTTAGAGAAACCTGCTGCAGAGCTGCCCCTGAAGCTAAAAGGTGAGCTAGCGCAGTTCAGAGCCAGGCAAAAAGGCCAGAAAAAAAACAGCAGTGCTGTGAATACTGTCCAGTACAGGCGCATGCCAGCACAGACGGCACTGTTGCCAAAAGCACATCTGAAGAGTTACACGATGGAAGAATCCAGGCAAATAACCTCCACTCCTTGCCCTTCAGCTTCCTCCAGCCTCATGCTCAGCAGTCCCTTCTGCAGCGGAATTCCCCAGTCACCAGCTGATCTCACTAGGCTTTACAGCAAGCTTGTTCTGCACAGCACGCTAGCTCCTTTCGACACGTAGGCCTTGGGAAGGGGGGTCTAAGAGGAATGCGGAGGGGAGAGGGGATTGCTCTCCTTCTCCCCTACAAAATGGAGGCAGAAATCGGGGCAGGGATCTGTCGTTGTAAATGTCGCTTTATTTACTTATCCCTTAAACAAGTTGTCTAGGGGATAGTGCAAGAAAGAAAGGGCATGCCTGGTTGGAGGCTCCATTTGCAAATCATTAACAACAGCAACAGCAGCTATGTGGAGGTACTTCAGTGTGAGCCTGGCTATATTTCATTCTGTTAGTTTAAAGGTGAGGTCAAAGCCCTAGGGAGACAATAAAGGAGAAGTGTTAATATGCCATGTGAATAAGGAACCATGATTAATCTCCCTACAGCTGATGAGTAATTGACTCCTTGACACTCTTAAATAAACACTGTAATGAGCGGCCAATGGAAAATGTATGTACCACCGCCATGCAGCAGTCTGCACGGGGGTCAGTGGTCTGTTGCAGGGCCTGCGCTGCTGGGAGTTCATAGGCTTTTATTTTCAGCTCCAGTACCAGCAGAAAGAGAAAGCCTGGCCCACAAAACACCACAAACGTAGTCATGCTACCATTCTGCAGCTTGGTTTTCAGCCATGCCCACCTCCTCCAGTCAAAGTCGGGACGTTTAGCTCGGCCTCCAGGGAGCTTCCTGTGAGATTTTGAGAGACACTGTCTGTCTGGGATTTGGAGAAACCAGCGCAAATTTCACCTACCAGATCCTGCCATCAGAAGAACTCTGCATGTTGTACTGGGCAAGAAATGCAGGGTTTACTGCATTCATGCAGGACTTCCCAGTCCATTCACGCATGAGAGTCCAATTAATTTATGTATGAATGCCCCATCAGTTCAAACATGAGTGCCCTGTTAATTCATGCTTGAGCATCATGTGGGGCATAAGTTGCAGAGTTTTTGATAGCAGAGAGCTGACTGCAAACAAAGGCAGCCCCAGTTACAGTGGTTCAGCAGCCCAGCAGAGATGAGACCACTGCTCCCGAGAGCGTGAACAATTGGCAGTCCTTTTTTCAGAGCAAAATTACAAAAATGTGAGACACACAGCTGCTTCCCCTGGGAGATGCCCCTGCAGTGGCTAGTGGTGTTAGGAAGCTGGAGCTTGTGGGATGCCACTTTTGGCTTTGGACACCAAAACCTACAAAAGTGGCGACTGCCTAACGTCACAGCCCCAAAGCTCTGACAGCAAGACAGTTGCTACTGCTCCTCTAGTATCAGCTGATAAGCTGGTGGGATGTCCTGTTGATGAAGGAGTAACCTAACCTATAGAAACCATACTGGGGGAAGCATGCTGGAAGAGAGGTGTGAGATTAGCTCCACAGAAAATGCCAAGTCCAGGTTTATGTTCATCCTTGGAAAAAAGTGTCAAAAAGGCCTGAAAATTCTACATGCTCCCACCCTACATGCTGGGAATAATGGATGTTCCAGAAGGAAAAGAAAGAGTATAGGATGGAAGTGGGACAGAAATCTAGAGCTGTGAGTTAAGCAACTGCAAGGGCAGCAAAAAAGTCAGAGCTCAGTTAATGTTGTTACGGCTGTGGAGCAAGCCCCAAGACAGCGAAGCTGTTTGGTGTGTCATCTGACTCCCCAAACGGGGACATGCCCATGCTGCTGCATGTGAGCACTGTTCACCCCCACCCATTTTGGATGTAAATGAAGCCCTACAGCTACTGAACTCATAACCCTATTGGTACCTTCAACAGTGGTGGTAATTTTTGCTTGGACGATCTGAATCATATGCTTTTATGCTAAAGCACAGTGAGTAACTTGAGCTGCCATTATGTTCTTGGTTGGTTGTTTTGAAGGGACAAGTCCTAAAACTTATAGCAAGTATTCTGATTATGATGATGTTAACCCTGATAGAGGTCCATAGGGGCAAGGGGTGGAGTTTGCAATGGGTATATATTCAAATTGTTGGGGCTTTCTTGGTTATGTGTTTTGCAGAAGCAAAGCATGACATTTGTAATAAGCATGTGCTCAGACTGTTGTACTATTAACCTCCGTAGTCTTGTCCAGAGGGATGAGGGGGTGACGTTTGTGATGAGTGATAACATTAACCCCAATACTCCAGTCCCCAGGGGAAAGGGGTAGAGTTTGTAATGCGTAACACGCTGCCCAGACCGTGCTGATGAGTCCCGTCATCTGGTTCCCAAGGGAGAGCGGGTGGAATTTTAGTAAATGTATGCACACGTTGTTGCACTATTAACTGCTGTATCTGGTCCAGGGGTGGGGTCTGTGATGGGTATGTAACCAAACTGTGATGTTAACCCTTGTAACGTGGAGGAATGGCATTTTAGTAAGTGTACTGTTACAGTATTAATCCCTACTGTCTGGTCCAAAGGGGGGAAGAGTGGAGTTTATAACTGAAGTACATTAAGATTGTGATGATGCTGAAAAGAGTTCATAATGGATTAACATTCCAAGAGTTCTTCGATATGTGCCTTGCGGAGGTGAGGAGTGCCATACAGGCCATAAATTGTTGGGCTTGCTGTGTTCTTGTGTGAGTGCCAAATTAGTTCTTGCATGAGCACTGAATAAATTCGTGCATGAGTGCCCAATTAATTTATGCATGAATGCCCAATTAATTTTTGCATAAGCATGCAATTCGTTCATGCATGCATCCCCAAATAATTTATGCCCAAGCACCCTGTTAGTGCATGCATGAGTGCCCAACTTAACGCATGAGCACCCACTTAATTTACATAGGAGCACCCAATTGTTACACATATGGGTGCTGTGCTGGGCATATATGGTAGATTTTTCGGGGAGCAAGGGCTGCTGGTGTGACCTGTGTGGGAGAAGGCCATGATCCACTTCATGCCAGTCACAGAGAAAGTTCCACCTGGCTCTAAAAACGGTGTGAGCCACTAGAACTTCAGCCAGCCAGGGGAGCACATAACACCTCTGCTCAAGTATATTTAAGAAACAGCAGCCGCCACTGGGAGAGGAGACACACCTGGACACGCCCGAGAAGACATGCAGCTGGAGATGGACTCTCGAAAGGAGGTGCTCTGTGTCAAAGGTGTGCACTCCCAAAGGGACTGTTGTCCCTCGGTGACCCATGCCAAAGCAGGGACACCCGCAATGGGACTATGGCCTGTGGGTGACCCACGATGGAGCAGGCACAGGAAGGAGGAGGAGCGGCAGACAGAAACCACTACACACGTGACCACAATGTCCTGTGCCACCCCTTTCTTCACTGAAGGAACTGGGACAGGCTGAGTGTGACCTGCGGTGAAAGTAAGGAGAGCTAAGAGATGGAGAGGCGAAGAGAAGTGTCCATCTTAAGTGGGGTCTGGAAAAAGGGGAGGAAAGATGTTTACGTATGTGTTTGTTTAATTACCCGACAGGGATTAGAAGTTTGTGTTAGTTGGCAATAAATGCAACTAAGTAAAAAAATCCCCAAGTCGAGACTGTTTTGCCAGCAACAAATGCCTGGGCACAGGCCACGCATGGATTGCAAGGGGGTGTCGCAAAAGCTGGCACACTTGGCAGAGGGCTGCACAAGCAAGTCAGAAGGAACTGCTGAGGGATTTGCAGCTCTGACATCTCTCCCGGAGCTATGACCCAAAACTAACCCCTTCTCAGAAAAGAAAGGTAAAGTCAGAGCAACTGGGACTTCCAACAGCTGGGAAAGGTGTGCTCAGAGGCTGTCAGCAGAGACTCTGTGTCTCTCGCTAGCCACTGAATGGTGGACAGAAGGGGATAACTATTTGCTTTAGACTTTTTGCACGGGGTCCAATCTGCGGTGCGCCCCGTAACTCCTGGCCAGCTCAAGCCTGCTGCTGGCATGGAGGGATGGGCACGGTGGGTGGGAATCCTGGCAGGGTGGATGGGGTGAAGTGCATGTGATGGTGCTCTTTCAGCCCAGCAAAACATGAGTTGGGATAAAGGGGTCAGGTTGCCCTGGCATGAGGCAACCTTATGAGTGGAGCATTTAAGAAATGGCAGGAATTGGAGGCAGGTCTTCCAGGCTACCATTTGGGATACAGAAAAAGACGGTTAGTAGCAGCCAGCTGCTGGTGCTATGCTGTCTCTGTGGCCCAAATTCCACCCTACAGTTAGTATAAAGTGCCAAAACCCAGCTTAGTAGCA